CTAACGAAGAGCCTCCCCCAAAGCTAACGAAGAGCCTCCCCCAAAGCTAACGAAGAGCCTCCCCTAAAGCTAACGAAGAGCCTCCCCCAAAGCTAACGAAGAGCCTCCCCCAAAGCTAACGAAGAGCCTCCCCTAAAGCTAACGAAGAGCCTCCCCTAAAGCTAACGCAGAGCCTCCCCTAAAGCTAACGAAGAGCCTCCCCCAAAGCTAACGAAGAGCCTCCCCCAAAGCTAACGAAGAGCCTCCCCCAAAGCTAACGAAGAGCCTCCCCCAAAGCTAACGAAGAGCCTCCCCCAAAGCTAACAAAAAATATGATTTCGTATGAAAAGTGGCGCTGGCCGACGGAGTCATTACCTTGTACTATTCCCAGTATAATAATAAATGGCAGTGTTCCAGCTGCTCTCGCCCAACACTACAACAACATCGTGACGTAACATGAACGACGCCTCTAGACTGAATACAAACTGCTGGCGTTGAACTGCCTGAGAATCAAACCAGCACCAGCTAGTTCAATCCAGTCTGGTGCTCGGAACACCTTACTCTCCTCTAATCTATAACCGCTTGTATAACACTTTGTTTTATTCACCTTCAATTCAAATTACACAAGTCGCTCTCCCTAATTACACTACTACTTAATTCCCGCCGGTAACTAATATAAAGTGGCGCAGACATTATACATTACTGATGATTGGAGTCGACTCCCTTCAGTGGGTTTCCAGTGGGTGAGGACGGGTGTGGCGCCTCACTGGTGTGGTGGGTGAGGACGGGTGTGGCGCCTCACTGGTGTGGTGGGTGAGGACGGGTGTGGCGCCTCACTGGTGTGGTGGGTGAGGACGGGTGTGGCGCCTCACTGGTGTGGTGGGTGAGGACGGGTGTGGCGCCTCACTGGTGTGGTGGGTGAGGACGGGTGTGGCGCCTCACTGGTGTGGTGGGTGAGGACGGGTGTGGCGCCTCACTGGTGTGGTGGGTGAGGACGGGTGTGGCGCCTCACTGGTGTGGTGGGTGAGGACGGGTGTGGCGCCTCACTGGTGTGGTGGGTGAGGACGGGTGTGGCGCCTCACTGGTGTGGTGGGTGAGGACGGGTGTGGCGCCTCACTGGTGTGGTGGGTGAGGACGGGTGTGGCGCCTCACTGGTGTGGTGGGTGAGGACGGGTGTGGCGCCTCACTGGTGTGGTGGGTGAGGACGGGTGTGGCGCCTCACTGGTGTGGTGGGTGAGGACGGGTGTGGCGCCTCACTGGTGTGGTGGGTGAGGACGGGTGTGGCGCCTCACTGGTGTGGTGGGTGAGGACGGGTGTGGCGCCTCACCTAGACTTCTGTTAAGAGCTGCACAACCTGGTTTTATACCAACAAACTCATCCAAGCAATAAACAAGAATAAAAATGCAGACTGTGTATACAGGAATTCTGCAAACATGTTCGACATAGCAATAGCGGCTTTAAGGAATTAACAGGCGAAGAATAAGATATTTAATCTTGAACACAACATAAGCTTCGTCTTTGCCAGGAGCAAGATAGGCTGAATGACAACTTTCGTAACTAGAAAAGTGGCTAATAATTACCAAAATTAATTTAACCTTTCGACTGTGCATCACATCATATGATGGGGTACCTACATGATTAAGCATCCCATCATGTGAAGTATTAGGGAACTGCCTAAGAATTAAGTCTTGCACATACATGGGACTCTCAGTTGCTTCCTTAGGCCTACAATAACAATTCACCCCCCCCCTATTTTGAAAAAAAAATAAGTCTCACTTTCCCTTTAGGGCCTTAGTAAAATGAGGCCCATATGCAGGCGATGAGTCACAATAACGTGGCTGAAGTATGTTGACAAGTCTCATTGATTGTGCTCAAGTCACAATCGACTTGAGAATGGTCCAGGACGGACCGAAACGTCGTCGTCCCTTCAATTTCTAGTGTGTGGTCTGGTCAACATGAGGCCCATATCTGGCAACAACATTATCTAGTCTAAAAGACTCAACCCTTAGGACAGGCTGTCTGATCATAGGTTAATTCCAGTAATGTATAAAGACCTGTGGCTTGGGTTTTATTATGGATATCGAGTGTTATGTTTTTAATATTTCATCCTGTTGTGAATAAACTTTGACTATGTACGTTATAAAGTCTGTCGAGGGTGTTGTGATTTTAACACTTTAATGTGTAGTATGACATTAGGGGCCTCGTAGCCTGGTGGATAGCGCGCAGGACTCTTAATTCTGTGGCGTGGGTTCGATTCCCGCACGAGGCAGAAACAAATGGGCAAAGTTTCTTTCACCCTGAATGCCCCTGTTACCTAGCAGTAAATAGGTACCTGGGAGTTAGTCAGCTGTCACGGGCTGCTTCCTGGGGGTGGAGGCCTGGTCGAGGACCGGGCCGCGGGGACACTAAAAAGCCCCGAAATCATCTCAAGATAACCTCAAGATACGTATATGAATTTCACTACGGTGTTCATAAAGTTTTCAATACTACTGGTGCTTGTGTGTTGTAACCTTGAGGTTATCTTGAGATGATTTCGGGGCTTTTTAGTGTCCCCCGCGGCCCGGTCCTCGACCAGGCCTCCACCCCCAGGAAGCAGCCCGTGATAGCTGACTAACACCCAGGTACCTATTTTACTGCTAGGTAACGGGGGCATAGGGTGAAAGAAACTGCCTAATGTTTCTCGCCAGCGCCTGAGATCGAACCCAGGACCACAGGATCACAAGTCCAGCGTGCTGTCCGCTCGGCCGACCGGCTCCCTCTTTAACATTACTGCCAATTATGCCGGGTACTACAAGCTTTGTGCACTGAGGCCTTGAATGTGTCTTTCATGGTTTTTTATTGTTGGTCTTGTGACCAGAAGCATAGGCTTGTACGCAGGTCTGCAAAACTGCATTTTTTTTTTAAATCAGTGGGTCTCATGGACTTGTTTGGGATTCATTGAACCCCTAATATCCAATTAGAGTACTTTGCTCATGATTATCTCACTGTAAGGGCCTCAGGGTTGATAATTATGGCTTTACTTGTGGTAATTGTGTACGGTGAAATATGAAACTTAGAGAATACATCTGCGATGTTATCGTGGTATTTATCAATGTAGAGTTAGAGATAGTCACTTTGTGCTTCTGATGAACATTTTAGCTGTATGTATTTCATATTGACTAGCCAATATAATTAATAATGTCGGTGTAGTAGTAGCAAACATTTTTTTTAAGAGTTAATTAGCTTGGCGTGTACTCCCCTTCCCCCCCACCCCCATTAGTTATACTGACTAGGCTTTTATGTGCGTAATGTTTAGATGACAGTTCCTGTTTGTTTTAATAATTTCGGTCGGTACAAGTGCACCACTGAAATAATTGTCTATTTTGTACAACTATTCGTAGAAGCTTCTGTTTTATTGTTGACCAGACCACACACTAGAAATTGAAGGGACGACGACGTTTCGGTCCGTCCTGGACCATTCTCAAGTCGATTTCTGTTTTATGATCTTTGTGTACGGATAAGAGATTGGTGCACAAATAATATAGTTGTATATTATAAGCTTTTACCACTACAAAACGACACTTCCCGTAGTAAGTATTGTGTACTACGTCAATATATGTACGACGGTCCACGGTTACGAAAAGTATGATCTAAACAAGAGGATGGGATGCTGGACGGATACGGGGGTTCATAATAAACTAATAATTTCAATTGCATTAGGTGTATGAACTGGTCGCTGTGTAGCAGTGGGGGTGCACCACATTTTAAAACACAGCCTGGAAGGGTAGTGGAACAGGGGAAAAAGTGGGGAGGACGGCCGCCGATGGAATGGGGGAGGGGGGGTAGAGTGGAAGAGTTGGAGCAAGAGCAGGGAGGGGTGGAGCAAGCCTAGGGAGAGGAGCGGTCTACCTGCTCAGCTAACGGATCTTTGTCATCTGTGACGCTTTCACCCCCTCCCTCCCTCCCTCAATCCCCGGTAGCTTGGCCTTACTTTAACAACTGCTCAGCCTGATTGATTGATTGATGAAGATTAAGCCACCCAAAAGGTGGCACGGGCATGAATAGCCCCTAAGTGGTGGCCCTTTTGAGCCATTATTAGTATCAATAGATGATACTGGAGATCTGTGGAGGTGCGGCTGCACCCTGCGTGACGGGAGATGTCTCCCGTGCTGCTCAGCCAATTACAATTTTTTTTTATTATGCACCCCATACCCATCCCGTGGGCGGTGGTGGAAAGGGTTATATGGAAAGGCCATATTTATTCAATTCCCAGAAAATAGAATGCACATCTTGACCACAGACGAAAAATTAACAAGCAAGCAGAAAAACAAGTATGGCCACGAGAGGTTAAGCAAGTAATCAACTGTCCTTGTCAACAATGTTAAAAACAAAAAATTATGTTGAGAAGCGCACACAAACTTAATGGTCTGCAGAGGCCTGAAGTGAGCATTTAACGGGGGCCAAAATAGCAAATTACTTATGTTACCATACTATAAAATAACTTCCCTTTAGCTTCAATATGGTCAAGTTGTGATCCAAACACTATAGCCATAGAGTATGCTTAAAGGTACATGTTCATCCAATTTGTCATAGATCATTACTTGACTGCATCGAGGTTACTTCAGCATTATCTTCCACCCTGCTCATCTCCTCACCCCTGGCCAATCCCATTCCACCCCCACACGGAAACCACTGGGTAGCCTCAGCATGATCGGCTTCACTTGTCACTGGTTGATACCTGGTTGATACCTGGTTGATGGGGTTCTGAGAGTTCTTCTACTCCCCAAGCCCGGCCCGAGGCCAGGCTTGACTTGTGAGAGTTAGGTCCACCAGGCTGTTGCTTGGAGCGGCCCGCAGGCCCACATACCCACCACAGCCTGGTTGGTCCGGCACTCCTTGGAGGAATAAATCTAGTTTCCTCTTGAAAATGTCCACGGTTGTTCCGGCAATATTTCTTATGCTTGGTGATGCGACGTAAAACACTGACAATAAACTAGGCTCAACTTTTATTTTATACAGAAAGCTAAGAAAGAGGTACTCACGTTCATGCCGTTGTCGCAGTTTAGGTACTTGTGGTCGGTAGTGAAAAACGTGCCAGTCACTTTCTGAGTGTCTGACGCCCGCGCTTGTATTATGAAGCCCTTGAAGACAGTGTTCCCGGCCACCTGCAACGTCACCAGCATCCTCTCTCCACCTTGCACCTGCACCGACCCTGGCGTTATGGTGTAAGGCGGGGGGCTGTTCTGAGGGCCGACGCCATGCTTAGGTATTCTGGTAGCGCAGGCAGTGTCGGGCGCGCCTTGGGAGAACGCCCATGCGCTGCCACAGAAGCATGCCCATATCACCAGTGCGGTCGCCATTACTCCCGCACCTATCATTGAAGAAAACATTAATTACATTTCGGTAACAATTATAGTGTTTATTTTAAAGAAGAAATTGCTGCCATCGAGTTGCATGGCTTAATAGCGAAAACAAAATCAGTTTTATTAACAATTTTTCACCAAGAAAATAGCACAAATACAGACTTTCTCTGGCGTTAATTAAAATATTTGTGATGCTTAATACATTTGACAGACACAGTAAAAAAAACACTTGTAATAAAAACATTGTGGGTCATAACTGCATGTTGTTGATCACTGCATATATTGTAGGTTAGGTTCAGTTAACGTGGGTTTTCAAAAATTATGGAACCTTTCATATGAAGAGATGAAAGCGCTTTATTTATATTCTGTAGAAAGGCGAAACGCGTGACTTGCTGTTCAGTTTTAGTATGGGCAAAATGTTTATTTAAGGCATTTTGGGATTTTGGCATTTATGGCTTCAGCGAGTAGGCGGTTCCATGGGTCTGGAACCCTCTGGGTGAAAAATCTTTTTTTCGGTCCTACTTGAGAGGACACTCTCCAACACTATCTGTGATTGCCCTGTTATTAGTGACTTCATACCAAATGGTATGAGGTACTTTGAGCTCTGTAGGTACTTCATACACTCATTCTTGTGCTGTACCCAGATTTTGCTAGTGTAGGCTAATAGATCAGCCTTACATTTCTCGTTCTCTCCTGATTCCATGTATGACTGGCCGTCCTGTGAGATGAGCTTGTAGCTGGTTTTTGATCTACACTGTGTGGTCCTTCATACAGAATAGGGAAGCAGCACATGTATACCTAATCATGTTAAAAAATACATTGTTTGAGAGTAATCTTGTAGACTCTGGTAAGAAAAATTATTATAAAATGTTACATGATTCAGTGTTTACCTCTTGTGAAAATCTTGAAGTTGTTTAGTCATAGTTTGTTTTTTGTATTGAGGCTGGTATTTTCTTCCCATGATTCCATGTATGACTAACCATCCTGTGAGATGGGAGTACAGTATTAGATGAACTTATAGCTAGTTTTTTATCTACACTGTGTAATCTTTCATATAGAATATGGTAGCAGCACATTGCTGTGTATACCTAAGATTCTTAATAAAACAAATCAGTAATAAATGTTTTAATTATAGTGTGTATAACTACCAGTATTATCCTTATTAAATCCTGTTAACCATGGATTATTAAGATCTCTTGTTGATATGTAATAGTCATTTCTTTTGCATCATTCATTACGTCTCAATTTTTTACTTCTTTGGATATACAGTACAGTACAAATGATACTTTAAACAACCCATAAATATTTGTTGCATTATATTTTTTATTTAAATAACTGGATCAATATTTTTACAGCTGACAGGATTTGTTTTACTCACAGGTGCATTATCTGTTAAAAAATTTGATTTATTGTTACATGCAATGCTGCTACATAGGCTTCCTGGCTTGGTGCCTTTTGATAATTACTTTTTGTTACACAGCCAAATTGTGTAACAGGAACAGGTCTTGGACCCTTACTTCCCCCCCCCCCACCTTTTTTTAACAGGCCATAATAGTCCATATAGTCATAATTATAGGTTTAAGTATTCAGAGAAGTTTTTACCCTTCTTACCTAACATCATTTGTGCAGGATATTTTTCTTTTTATTTTGAAATTAAAAATGGAAGAGATATGAACCAAACAAATTAAAATTGGGTATGTATAGCTAAAGTACACCCCCTAGCTCTACTTATGACTAGGTGGAACAGGGGCATTTGGTGATAGAAATACTCCCACCAGCCTGGAATCACCACCTCTCATATTTCATGTTCACCAGTGTCTATATACTTAATAACTACTGGTATAATATCTTGCTATTATAAAACTAATTCTAATATCATAAGAGACATTTACTACAAGTTTCAAGCAGAGAATGTATATATATATATAGTTAACACGAAGGACTCCTCGAGACTCGCCAGCTAAATTGTTTGTTTATAACCGCGTTGCGTTCCTGCCCGAAACGCTAGGCGTACTAGTGGCTTTACAAGATTGTATTTACTATATTATGTATCCTCACAATCCCACTGTACCTTCTTGTATATATATAAATAAATAAATAAGAAAATCGATCCTCCGTGTTGTGTAGTAGAGAAAAATTTAGTTATATCCAGTTTACGTAAAGCTGCGAGTGATTCTGAGCGCCCTTAGTGTACTTACAAAGATTTTCCTTCCTAAATGCCTACCTGAATACCGACGTAGCCGCTACGAAGATGCTAAGAAAAACATTCTTGAGTACGTACGTAACTGCTTCGTGAATCTGGACCCTGTATTACCAATTACTGATACTCTAATGCGGAACATCCTTAGCCCATTTGCATAGGCCTAACTACTCAGTTTGAGTGGTTTAGATAGGAATGGTAGTGGTCTAACCCCTCAAGCTCCCAGGTCCCCCACCCCAGCCAGTGGTCTAACCCCCCCCACCCCCGCCAGTGGTCTAACCAACCACCCCCACCAGTGGTCTAACCAACCACCCCCACCAGTGGTCTAACCAACCCACCACCCCCACCAGTGGTCTAACCAACCAACCCCCACCCACGCGAGTGGTCTAACCAACCCCCCCACCCCCGCCAGTGGTCTAACCAACCCCCCCACCCCCGCCAGTGGTCTAACCAACCCCCACCCCCGCCAGTGGTCTAACCAAAACGCCAGTGGTCTAACCAACCCCCACCCCGCCAGTGGTCTAACCAACCCCCACCCCGCCAGTGGTCTAACCAACCCCCCACCCCCGCCAGTGGTCTAACCCCCACCCCCGCCAGTGGTCTAACCCCCACCCCCACCCCCGCCAGTGGTCTAACCAACCCCCCCCCCACCCCCGCCAGTGATCTAACACCCCCCCCACCCCCGCCAGTGGTCTAACCCCCACCCTCACCCCCGCCAGTGGTCTAACCCCCACCCCCGCCAGTGGTCTAACCCCCCCCACCCCCGCCAGTGGTCTAACCCCCCCCCCACCCCAGCCAGTGGTCTAACCCCCCCCCCCCACCCCAGCCAGTGGTCTAACCCCCCCCCCACCCCAGCCAGTGGTCTAACCCCCCCCCCACCCCAGCCAGTGGTCTAACCCCCCCCCACCCCAGCCAGTGGTCTAACACCCCCCCCACCCCAGCCAGTGGTCTAACACCCCCCCCCCCCCCCACCCCAGCCAGTGGTCTAACACCCCCCCCCCACCCCAGCCAGTGGTCTAACACCCCCCCCCCCACCCCAGCCAGTGGTCTAACCCCCCCCACCCAGTGGTCTAACCCCCCCACCCCAGCCAGTGGTCTAACCCCCCACCCCAGCCAGTGGTCTAACCCCCCACCCCAGCCAGTGGTCTAACCCCCCACCCCAGCCAGTGGTCTAACCCCCCCACCCCAGCCAGTGGTCTAACCCCCCACCACCACCCCAGCCAGTGGTCTAACCCCCCCACCACCACTCCAGCCAGTGGTCTAACCCCCCACCCTATACCAGTTCTTGCCAGTTTCTGCTAGCCTTTATATTTTCCTCAACTGGTGTTCGCAGATCAATTTTAATCACTATTTCACTGTTCTAATTCCCTTGTGGCGGCGGTGTTGGTGGCGGGTAACACCAGATTATGGTGGTGCATGGAGCAGTGTGGCCAGACGTGGTGGTACATGGAGCAGTGTGGCCAGACGTGGTGGTACATGGAGCAGTGTGGCCAGCCGTGGTGGTGCATGGAGCAGTGTGGCCAGACGTGGTGATGCATGGAGCAGTGTGGCCAGACGTGGTGGTACATGGAGCAGTGTGGCCAGCCGTGGTGGTGCATGGAGCAGTGTGGCCAGACGTGGTGATGCATGGAGCAGTGTGGCCAGACGTGGTGCTGCATGGAGCAGTGTGGCCAGACGTGGTGCTGCATGGAGCAGTGTGGCCAGACGTGGTGCTGCATGGAGCAGTGTGGCCAGACGTGGTGCTGCATGGAGCAGTGTGGCCAGACGTGGTGCTGCATGGAGCAGTGTGGCCAGCCGTGGTGGTGCATGGAGCAGTGTGGCCAGACGTGGTGATGCATGGAGCAGTGTGGCCAGACGTGGTGCTGCATGGAGCAGTGTGGCCAGACGTGGTGCTGCATGGAGCAGTGTGGCCAGACGTGGTGCTGCATGGAGCAGTGTGGCCAGACGTGGTGCTGCATGGAGCAGTGTGGCCAGACGTGGTGCTGCATGGAGCAGTGTGGCCAGACGTGCCGCTCCCCACCACAACACCCACTCCCAATGTTGCAATTATTTATATACTACAATATTAGAATAACGAAATATTCAACTAGCGAGAAAACTATGAACTACTGGGAAGGCCACAGCGGTGGTTATTAACCACACGGGAACTACGACCTGCAGGCTTTAGTGTTCATAAGCTTCTTCAACGTTTAAATGGTTTAAACTTCACACTATAAATATAGAAACGCCGAATATAAAGACAAGAAATGTGTGTACCAGTTCCACTTACCTGGAACCATCTTGAAGGGTTTTATGGGTAGGCCTCTGGCGAGTATTTACACCAAATTCTTATAGGATATCACGTAGTGCACCAACTATCTATAACGTCAATTTCAGGTATTTACAAGTTAATAAAGTAGGAAAAGCTAGGAAGCCAGGAGTGGCCACACACGCACGCACACTCACGTCGAGGGTGGAAAGTGAACTGTTGTAACCTCGGGAGTGTGCCCGCGCCGCCACTCATTCCCATTCACCCAACGTTATGCTTCTTCTGGGGCCTCACTAGTCTTACGCTTCTTCAAGGGGGCTTACTGGTGTTAAGTTTCTTCTTCAGCCTCAGCTGTTAGGCTCCTTCAAGTAATCACCTAGTTACTTGTGCTTATGAGGTGTTGAGCTGTGGCTCTTTGGTCTACAGCCTCATCTGTTAGGCTCCTTCAAGTAATCACCTAGTTAGTTGTGCTTATGAGGTGTTGAGCTTTGGCTCTTTGGTCTACAGCCTCATCTGTTAGGCTCCTTCAAGTAATCACCTAGTTACTTGTGCTTATGAGGTGTTGAGCTGTGGCTCTTTGGTCTACAGCCTCATCTGTTAGGCTCCTTCAAGTAATCACCTAGTTAGTTGTGCTTATGAGGTGTTGAGCTTTGGCTCTTTGGTCTACAGCCTCATCTGTTAGGCTCCTTCAAGTAATCACCTAGTTACTTGTGCTTATGAGGTGTTGAGCTTTGGCTCTTTGGTCTACAGCCTCATCTGTTAGGCTCCTTCAAGTAATCACCTAGTTACTTGTGCTTATGGGGTGTTGAGCTGTGGCTCTTTGGTCACGCCTCTCAAATGTCAATCTACTTGTGTACTGATTCCTGAGGCTATTGGACTTTATTATATCTACATTTGAAACTGTATGTAGTGCCCGAAACGCCATGTGAGTGTTAGTGGCTTTGCATGAATGTAAAAAGACGAATGTTATGTAATCTCACCAACCCATTGAACCTTCCTGCAAATACAAATTATTGTTATATTATTATTATTATAATCTGCCTCCACCACATGAATGCATCACTTCCTAATGCATTCCATTTGTTAACTACCCTGACACTGAAAAATTCTCTCTAATGTCTCTTTGGCTCATTTGGGTACTAAAATTCCACCTTTGTCCCCCTTGTTCGTATATCAGCCGTGCTAAATAATTTGCCTTGATCTACCATGTCAGTTCATCTGAGAATTTTCTAAATGGTAATCATGTCTCCTCCTGACTCTTTTGTATTCCAGTGACGTGAGGTTTGATTCGAGTAGCTTTTCCTCGTAACTCATACTTCTCAGTTCCGGGACTAGTTTGGTGGCATACCTCTTAACTTTCTCTAACTTCTTCTTGTGTTTGACTCTAAATATAAGGACTCCACTCTGGAGCTGCAATACTTCAGGAAAGACCTGACACATAGGGTACACAAGGTTCTGAATGATTCTTTACACAAGTTTCTAAAGGCAGTTCTTATGTTTGCCAGCTTCGTATATGACATTAATAATTTTAATGTTGGCCTGAAGAAGACAGCTTGGTTCGGCATGAAACCAACCCCCTGATCTTTCGATTTACATGATTCTTGAAGGATTTCATGTCCAATAGGGACATGAAATCCGTATCCGGCCTTCTGCTCCCTACACTATTTTAATTACTTTACCCTTAAGGTCTTGTAGCAATTTGTCGGACCATTTCTTCAGTTCCTCCAGGTCATCTTGTAGTCCCTTGCTATTTTTTGTCTTAATCCTTCACATAATGTAACATCATCAGCAAACATTGAGAGGAACTAGTCTATACCCTCTGGAAGATCATTTACATGTACTGTATTAAAAATGGTGTCAAACCCCGGTGTTAAGCAGCTTCCAGGCCCAGCACCCGGTGTTAAGTATCTTCCAGGCCCAGCACCCGGTGTTAAGCATCTTCCAGGGCCCAGCACCCGGTGTTAAGCATCTTCCAGGGCCCAGCACCCGGTGTTAAGTATCTTCCAGGGCCCAGCACCCGGTGTTAAGCATCTTCCAGGGCCCAGCACCCGGTGTTAAGCATCTTCCAGGGCCCAGCACCCGGTGTTAAGTATCTTCCAGGGCCCCGCACCCGGTGTTAAGCATCTTCCAGTGCCTCCCACCCAGTGTTAAGCATCTTCCAGTGCCTCCCACCCAGTGTTATGCTCCTTCCAGTGCCTCCCACCCAGTGTTATGCTCCTTCCACCCAGTGTTATGCCCAGTCTAGAGCCTCAAGCTTTTTTCTGTTAATTATCTGGAATTACAAATGACATGCTTTGCAAGGAAACAATCCATGTCGTTCGGAAGTAGTAACACTACCAAGAATATTAAGCCTTAGTAGAAGGAAAGAACATTAATGTTTATGATATGTTGTCGGGGACAGGAAGCTCGTTAGGCATATCAAGTTCAAGTATGTTTATTGAGACAAGAAAGAAATACATCTCAAAGGGATAGAGTAGCTTAGGCTATTTCTACCCCCCTCTACTTCAAGTCCCTCATGGGGCACACAAATTCAGTGAGTACAAATAGACAAATAACATTACAAGAATCCCATTTAACATTGCAAGTTAATATATTAAGCACAGCATATAATTGTTACACTCTTGGGGCAAAATTCTTGTAGCTCCTAAGTATACCATTATCACACATAATTACACACATAATCACAAGGACATAATCACATATCACATAATCACATAATCACACATACCATTATCACACATCCAAACAATTTGATGTGGTACACTACTTATTTCCATATTTCTATAGTTATCAATAAGTTGACACTAATACATAATGTTCTAAGGTGTGGGCGTGCGGCATACTACATAATTTACACTCCTTATCTTTTTCACTGACATCAACACCGTATTGCCAGATATATTTGTATCCTAATCTTAATCTCATGTAAATTGAATCCTTCCAAGTAGACTTTCCTTTATTATAGGTGAAGGACGAATTTGTATTTATTATTGAATAATTCTTAAATGTGTTACTACTGTCCACCATTGCCATTCTCTTTATCATTTCTTCACCCTCCTGAATCACCTTGATTCTTGTTTTTATTTGTTTCAAGGTTAACTGACATACAACATCAACAAGAGTTTTTTTCAGTGGCTCTTTTCGCTATATCATCAACTACCTCATTCAACAGTATTCCCACATGTGAAGGGATCCACATGAATCTTACTTTATACCCAGTTTTTTCTAATTTCTTAACATTCTCTCTACACTCTATCACAATACGTATTCTGGTATACTGGGCGTCTGCTATTTAAAGACTCAAACGCTCCTCTGCTGTCAATAAAGAAGCAAGCATTTTTACCACATTTGACTACTTCCTGTAATCCTGCTAATACACCTTGGAGTTCAGCCTGCGTTGAAGAGACATTGTCAGTTAAGCGGCGTCCAATAACAGTATCTACAGTGCCGATGTCAGTGTACTCCCTGATCAAGACTCCACATCCTGCCTTCCCATCCCTAGCGACTGACCCATCACAATATACATGTAGAGTTTTTTCTGTAGGCAGTTTTCTAATTATACAATCATATGTTGCCCTCAGCTCTCCTATTTCATACATACTTTTTTCTTTTGCAAGGGAGTAATTACTACATCTACATTACAATCCTCCCATGGTGATGTGAATTTTCTCTTGGGCACAGCAATACACTCTGTAATAACATCATACTTTATAACATTAGAACATAAGGTATTCATATATACTCTCTTCTTCATCATACATTGTTCATTACTTCCCACCTTTTGAACCGAGAGGATTAATTCATTAGCTCCCCCACCTCTCATTAATCTAATGGCAGAGGCTACATTTATCTCTACAATTCTATCCCCAATACTCTGCAGATTCAACTCCATCCTCATTATCTCAATCGTAGCATTTCTTGGGCATCCTAAGATAACTCTCATGGCTTCATTTTGGACTCCTCTTCTCCGAATGGACTCTTCATCAATGAAGAGTCCATTCGGAAACTCATTTTTATCAAGGGCTAAGTAAATTATATCACTACTTGCTCCATCTATAAATCCAACATTATTTTTGTAACTCATCTTCTATGTATGTACTTTTGCCTGAATAATCATTTGAATTTGAATTTGTCAAAATTATATCAAGCAGACTAATAATTGCATCGTTAGTACTCTTCTGGGAGCGGAAGCCAAACTGATAAGGATTTAGTATGTTGAATTTTACGAGGTAGGAGTAGAGCTGTTTATAAATATTTTTTTCAAATATTATTGATAATATAGGTAGATTTGATATTGATTTGTATTTGTTTGTTTGCCGTATGGCCTTTTTTTATGAAGGGTGGTTTTACAAGAATGTAAGAACTCTTGTATATATAAAAAAATAATAGAGGCCTATGACCCTGGGAAGAAATGAGTAGGTAGCGGGGGAGTGGGGAAGATCTTTTACTTTTTTCATGCTATATAACTTATCATTTTTATAAATTTTGCAAGTATTTACCTACATATAAGTTTCTTAGATTAAGGACCTGCCCGAAACGCTGCGCGTACTAGTGGCTTTACAAGAATGTAATTACTCAGATTCAGATTCAGATGTTTATTCAGGTAAGGTATATACATACAAGTGATGTTACATTAATGGATTGATATATAGATAGAGCTAGTACATACAATGCCTAAAGCCACTATTACGCAATGCGTTTCGGGCAAAACGAATGCTATGTATCCTCACAATCCCTATGTACCTTCTTGTATATATAAATAAATAAATATATATTATAACTTTGTATGTGTAATGCCATTTTCAAATAAAGTTAGATAAATATACACACATAGCAAAAGAATAGGGGTGGTAGGAGAAGAAAATATCAAAGTGTTCAGTGAAGATCCACAAGGTCTTCTCTGAGTACTCTTTATTTTCTTCTCCGAGGCTATGGGTCCCTACACTTGCACCAGAGGTGGTACCCCTTCCAAATAAATAAATAAATGGAAGAGTGTGGAAAAGAGTGGCGTGGTGGGGGATGACAGGCACCAGTACACATTACATGGGGCCGCCTCCCACCAGCACACCGCTGCTGCTCCATCACAATCCCCACTTACAATTGGTAATTGTACTTCCTGTGTACCAGACGCCATGTAAAGACAAAGGCAACTTTAAAGTAATGTTAAAATTGAATTTAGATAAACGTATACGATGTGCATGAAGCAAATATTGATGCAGTAGACTGATGAGTGTATCTCTGGTTATTATCCAGTAGTGTTGATTTACGAGGGCTCATGGAGAGATATTTCACATACTAGTGTAACATAACATGTCGGCATGGAAGTAGATACTGTGTGAGTTAGGTGGTATTGAGTGTGGAAATTGTGAAGTGTTTGTTGTGGTAACCCACAGTTGTCACGTCACTGTTCCTGCCGTTACTCCTTGTCTCGCCCTTGGGCCTGGTCTAGCCTGCTGCTTGTCACTGGCCTGGTCTAGCCTGCTGCTTGTCACTGGCCTGGTCTAGCCTGCTGCTTGTCACTGGCCTGGTCTAGCCTGCTGCTTGTCACTGGCCTGGTCTAGCCTGCTGCTTGTCACTGGTCTGGTCTAGCCTGCTGCTTGTCACTGGCCTGATCTAGCCTGCTGCTTCTCACTGGCCTGGTCTAGCCTGCTGCTTGTCACTGGCCTGGTCTAGCCTCCTGCTTGTCACTGGCCTGGTCTAGCCTGCTGCTTGTCACTGGCCTGGTCTAGCCTGCTGCTTGTCACTGGCCTGGTCTAGCCTGCTGCTTGTCACTGGCCTGGTCTAGCCTGCTGCTTGTCACTGGCCTGGTCTAGCCTACACGACCACATGGCCGTATACACCTCTGCTAGCCTACGAGGCTAGCCTAGGCTAGCGTCCTACCTTGCGTAAACTTAGCCTTACCAAACATTACCTTAATCTTGCCAAAACTGACTTGTCTACAAAAGGTATGTAGTAATTGCAGTATTTGTAATGATAAATCTTCTGATATATGTATAGTGATATGGGAAAATTTGCCTTTACTTTAAAATATGCCCCATGATGATGGGTGGGAGAGGTACACATTGTTAATAGCAGTCCCCGTGGTGTATTGGTTAAGACACTCGCCTGGCATTTCACGAGCGGTTTGTCCGGGGTTCATATCCTGGCCGGGGAGGATTTACTGGACGTCAATCCTTAACTGTATCCTTTGTTTACCCAACAGTAAAATGGGTACCTGGTTGTTAAACGATTTGGCGGGTCGTATTCCGGGGAACATAGGATCAAGGACTTGTCCGAAACGCTACGCGTGCTAGTGGCTGTACAAGAATGTAAGAACTCTTGTATATATAAATAAATAAATAGTGTGCCAGTACTGCAGTGCCTCGTCGGGCTTTATACTGTGTTAGTGTTCCTTCAGTCTCTATATGACATATTCATAATTCTTCAATAAAGATTATTTTGGTTCTCATTTTATGCTACACTATAAGATACAGTACTGTATATTATTTTATCTATTAATAGTTATATAACACAAAAGCTTTATACCTACCTACTGCTAGGTGAACAGAGGCATTAGGTGAAAAGAAATGTATCCAATCATTTCTGTCCCGCCAAAACCCGGAATTCTCGATTGTGTGTCAAGAATGAATCTGACTACTACCGAGACCTTCATTTATTACTCCTCCATGATAAGGTATTTACTGTCAGAATAATGCGGCTAGCTATAAAGAGCTAGTTGGAAGTAATAATAATATTTATGGAGATACAGTAAACGTATTACAATGACGTAATGCTTAAATGAAGGTGAATGCAAGGCCAATTAATGTTTGTGTATTATAGACCAAATTTTTAGATGTAATTTTTAGATTTGACACTGTCAACCACCCAAACCTTCTTCTTAAATTACAACATTATGGAGTCAGAGGTCACTCCCTGCAATACCTTAAGTCTTACCTTACTGACAGGCTCCAGTATGTTTCTGTGAATAATTCAATTTCTCCCACCCTACCCATCAACATTGGTGTTCCCCAGGGCAGCATACTTGGCCCTTTCCTCTTTCTCATCTACATTAATGATCTTCCAAATGCCTCCCAACATCTCAAACCAATTCTATTTGCTGACGACACGACCTTCATTTACTCCAGTCCTGACCCCCTTGCTCTGAATGTCACAGTGAATACTGAGCTAAATAAAGTCCATCACTGGCTAACTGCCAACACACTCACCCTCAATATTGACAAAACTTTCTATATTTTGTTTGGCAATAAATTCTCAAATCAAATAAATCTGAGGATAAACAATACCCAAATTTGTAACAAAGTACTGTAGATGGCAAATTCCTTGGCGTTCTCATTGACCGCAAGATGAATTTCCAGGGACACATACTAAATATATCAAAACAAGTTTCAAAAACTGTTGGCATTCTTTCTAAGATCGATATTATGTATTATCATCTTGCCCTGTCCTGGTGACACTCTATTACTCTCTCATCTATCCTTATCTCAACTATGGTATTTGTGCTTGGGGTTCTACTACCCAAAAATCATTTACGTCCTCTAATTACTCGACACAAAGCTGCTATTAGGAAAATATCTAACTCTGGCCCCAGACATCACCAGTGGCCCCGGCCCCGGTAAGCTTACCTGGCCCCGGTAAGCTTACTCAAATCTCTGAGTATTTTAGATATTAAGTCACTGCACATCCTCTCATGTGTATTATATATATATAAAACGCTGAACTGTAATGTCAGTCCTGACATTACAGTTCAGTCTCGACATTACAACCTTCTAGGAAGCTTAAAAGCTTCCTAGAAGGTAGTAACAGAACCCATGAGCACCACACCAGAAACAAATATCTATTTGATATTCCAAGAGTACGACTTAATCAAACTAGAAATGCTTTACAAATCAAGGGACCCAGAATGTGGAATGACCTTCCCAATCATGTTAAAGATTGTACCTCTCCCAACCAGTTTAAGATAAAAATTAAGTACTACCTAATTAACTCCATGTAACCTACTTCACCCTCAAAATGTCAACCCATGTCTATTATTTTAAACAATGCTATTTGTTGACCAAATTGTATTTTTGCTATTTTTTCTGCCATGTTCCCCCCTTTTTTTTATTAATTTTTTTATTTTCTCAACACAATTTATAGTTTAATATCAATTAGTATTAAGTTTTAGTCTTAGTGTTTTTCCTGCCCGAAATGCTTTGGGTAATAGTAGCTTTAGGCATTGTATGTACTAGCTCTATCTATAAATCCATCAACGTTTTGTATTTCGCCTTGTATGTATGTACGTTACCTGAATAAATATTTGTATTTGTATTAACCTACATCTTTTCTCAGGGTACTGTATGCAATGTTCTGAATTGTACCTTGAGAAAGGATGTAGGTTACATTAAAAAATTTAGTTTTTAGTACACTTTAACATAAACTGGGTCTTCCATTCACCTTCAATAATATTTATGAGAGTGTAGATACATATGATACCATATATCAGGGATAGCCAAACTTGCTGACTTGAAGAGCCACAAATGATAAAGCTCAGATGCAGACAATTTATTTATTTATATATTATTTATATATTTACTTATTTATTTATATATATATATACGAGTTCTTATATTCTTGTACAGCCACAAGCATGCATAGCTTTTTGGGCAAGTCCTTAATTATTTTATTTCAAGTTCTTTTATTTCAAACACCTACACACAAATTTGTTGATAGTAGTTATGAAATGTAATTGTATGGATTTTAATGTTTTATGTACAGTGTAATACCTGTACAGAAAATATTCTGTAACTTTGTAATAATAATAATCTAAGTTCATCTATTTTTGCATTACAGATATTTCATGGAAAGGCTAAAACGGAAATGACCACACATGTAATTTAGATGCTACAATTTGTTTGATTGTATCCATAACTGTTATATTCATGGTGCTGTGGTTAGTAAATTCCCAGTAAGCCTATTTATTCTATCCTCTTCATGTTAAAGTCAAGATATGTCTTATAAATGAGAGGTGAGCCCATGTTGAATAGTTTGAGAAGATACAAATTCTGGTGCTCATTCACCCATTGGTATTAACATCAAGCCTGGCTAAAAGGAACTCATGTTGAATCGATTCAAGACTGCCCTTTATAATGTGGTTGGGAGCTTTGATCCAGGTGATGGCACCCTTGGGGGTCTGGGGCCTGGAGTAACTAATACCCTACCATCGGCTGCTGGGGTTGTGAGGACTGGAGTTTCTAATAACACCATAAAAGAAAAGGTGAGCTTCATACTTTTTCTTTGTCTCTTCAGTATTCGCTAGGGGTATACAGTACTGCCCTTGTGCCTATCTTGGCAGTTTTTCATTATGTACAGACAGGCATGGGCATCTGTAGTGTAAGGACACGAGCTTGTAAAGCATTCTCTAGAGTACATATTAATGAAACCTATCCTTATTTCTTCACTTACCATATAGGTAAGTTACTTTAAAACAGGGAAGTAGAACCAATATGCATATATAAATACTTCCAACACGAGAGTAACTACCTGGGGCCGGAACCATATTTTTGAATTGGCAGGACTCTACAAACAATCAAGAATGCATGCATTACATTTATTAAGACAGGAAATGGGACAATACACTACCTGCAATTATAGCCTGCAACACGCCCAGGCGCAAGAAATAATAAAAAAAAAATATTTCGTCTTATAAAAGTGTTCATTTGTGTTCGTTGATCACAGGAAAAATAATAAAAAAAATCATAGGTGGCATATTTTGGCAGCAATAAGGTGGGGAAGTCTGGCAAAAAAGAGGAGTTGACAGAGTAAGCGTCGAAGGTGGGTCAGCTTCGCCAGAGCTGTCAGGCGGGAGTTGCCACAAAGATGATATTACCTAATTATTTCAATCTCTCTGATTTATTTTTTCTTATTTTTTTGCAGTAATATGCAATAGTGTGTAGTGTGATATATTTATATAATGAAATGTGTGAACCATCACTATACTCAAAATTATGGTGAGCATGTTAGTGATTCAATTATTATGTTCATAAAACAATAAAGAATAGTTTTGCTGTTATTACACTAATAAACATGTTATATATAAGTATCTACATTTGTGTTCGCCATAGCGAATCACTAATCTGATATGATGATTCTTGACAGGTGGCCACACAGAGTCAGCAGACAATGCTATCTCCCTCCCTCTCCTCAGCATTACTCCTCCCATCATACAGCACAGTACTAATTATCATAACAGTCCTACTATTATCAGAATCCTGATCATTTTTATCACAGTCAGGGGGGTCTTCTCTAATACTATCATCACTAAAAAATACCAGTTACATATACTGTATTTTTGACATTTTTAGGCAATGCTGTGGTCACAAGCTGAACAGCAATGCTGTTAGTTCATTTTACGTGCATCAGATTTGGTTGCTTAGTCAGTACTGATGCTCTCACACCCGGGAATGATGCCCACGATTTTTTTTTAAATGGTGTCTGTTTACAAGAGCCCTGAGGAAGCTGATATGAACCCCTTGTAGCCGCGGGACTTCTTGTGTGGTACTCCAACACGCCAATAGCTGTGGTGCGCAATTCCATGACAGTTACCACAGCTATTGATGTGTTGTGCAGTTTAACAGTTAATGACAGTATTCCAGTCACAGATATATAATGGAGGTCAATAACCTCACAGAGTGAGATGTGCTTCTCATGAACACACACCACACAACCTGTGTGTGTCAAGTCTCTGTCCTCTCTGTCCTTGTGGGATGCAGCGATGCTAATCTCATGAAAAGCGTGGGGAAAACTTTACACTCGGAAGCATACACATTTACTAATACTCAACTTAACATACTCTCAAACATTTACAAATTCAAGCTCAAGAAGACACAATGTAGGACTGAGAACAGGAGATGCTCATTCGCCCACAGGGTTATTAACCCATGGAACCGCCTACCCCCCGAAGCCGTAACTGCCAAAACTGTGCTGAGTTAAAATATACCTAAAAAAGATAATAAAGGAAATGGGGAGACCTTTGACAAGCCGCTGGCTTGCTGTCCTCGTCGAGGCCCTTATGGTTAGTGGCCTTCGGGTAAATCAGGTGAATTAAACATAAAAAATAACACAAATAAAACAAACTAGTACTGTATTTTAAATAAGAGAAACATTTACATTAATACACACAGAAATCACAATTGCGTGATGCATCAAATGAACAAATCCACAAGGGCAAAACAAATCCACAATATTGTTATTTACATTAATAACAAAAGCTAAAGTTTATATACCAGTCATTACAGTAGCCTATGACTGTGTTCATAATTTTCTTCAATACAGGTATTAGAAAGATTATTCTTGACTGGTAACCACAAGTTATTATAAATTGGTGTTAGGGTGAAAAGTTTGTAGAAGGGAATTGTTTTGATAGTATTGTACCAGTACTGGATAAACAAAGCTAGTTTCGTTGACCAGACCACACACTAGAAATTGAAGGGACGACGACGTTTCGGTCCGTCCTGGACCAGGAGAATGGTCCAGGACGGACCGAAACGTCGTCGTCCCTTCAATTTCTAGTGTGTGGTCTGGTCAACATACTTCAGCCACGTTATTGTGACTCATCGCCTGCAAAAGCTAGTTTCTATTGTACAATGTTCAGATTCCTCATTAAATTGTTAGTTATAGCTATTTTCAATGCCTTAATTTTTGTTCATTAATAAAATATTGAAAATATAAAATATTTAAATTATAATATATTTTAAATATATAATTTTAAATATAAAATACTAAAAACATAAAGTAATGCAAGTTCAAGTCCCTTTATTGCCCTAAAATTATTTTCTCATACAATAGATAAAACTAAATTTACAAAGCATGAAAGGTTTAAAAGCTAAGCAACACGGGGGTTAAAAACTTAAGTAGATTTGTTACACAAAATCTTCCTGTTCGAAAACCATACTGTCTGTCTGTCTGTGTTATTATGTCATTACTCTCCAGGTGTGCAACCCATTTGGCTTTAACCTATTTTTTCTAGTATTTTGACTACCATGCTTGTTAATGATGTGGGGTTTATAGTTTAGAGGTTCTTCTCAGCTACCATTTTTATAGATTGCGACTATGTTGGCCTTTGTCCATATATCTGCTAAGATTCCTATGCTAAAGGATGTATGGAATATTAATATGAGTAGAATGCTCAGCTCAGTTGCACATTCCCGCAGCACCCAAGGTGAAACTCTATAAGGTGCACCTGTTTTATTTCTTCCTAGCCCCTTGAGTAAGTTTTCCACTTCATCTTGAGATACCTCTATGTATTCTATGGTGTGTTCTAGAACTGACAGTCTGACTCTGAAATCCTCATTTTGTACAAACACACTTTGGAACTGTTCATTTAGCGTGTCACAAATTTCTTTTTCATTCTCAGTAGTTCTGTTCCCTCTTCTCAATATCTGGATTTTATCTTTTACATGCAGCTTGCTTTTAACGAGTCCAACCACTTTGACTGGACAATAGAGCGATGGTCTTGCTTCATGCATGTCAGCGTTCAATCCTCGACCGTCCAAGAGGTTGGATGGTCGGTCATTCCTTACCCCTGTTCCTTACAAATCCTTATCCTGACCCCTTCTAAGTGCTATATATTCGTAATGGCTTGGCACTTTCCCCTGATAATTCCCTTTCTTTGCTTTTATAGCTTGCTTTTTATCTCCTTTCCTGAATTTATAGAAAAGGCCTTGATCTGTTTTAACATTTGTCCGCTATCCCTTTCTCAAAGTTCCTTTCTCTCTCCTCACTGCTGTGTATTTGCTTCTTGCTTGCTTGTAGGGCTGAATTGTTTGAGGGTTAAGCCTCTTCCTATATTGAACCCATTTTCTTGTCTTTTCCTCTCTGGCCTCACAATTTGTAGAATCAATCCTATTTTCTGGTCCTGCATCTCTGTTTTGGTATGAATGTTTATGTACCTTCATCATATATTTCACAAAATTTGGCCAAAATCTCATTTATTTCCTTGCCTAGCAACAATTCTGTCCAGTTAATTTCATTAAAATTTTTTCAAAGTTCCCCATAGAAGGATGAAGGATGAGCAGTACCGAGGTTAATGAAGATTAGTTCCAGCTCGAGAGAAGTGAAAATATAAAAATGGAAACCACATATAAAAAGCAGTCAAATCACACTAAATAACGAAACAGCAATATTAATGATTAGGGAGTAATCATGTTGGAAGACCTCGCGTATAAAGAACACAATAAAGTAGCTGTCACAGTTGTAAGAAAAATGACAGATTGGATAACAATCTAACATTGATTGAATAACAATCAAGACAACGAGAACCTTTCAAACAAGGGATGCCATACCAATAATGATATTTTTCAAGACACCATTGCTATCTAAGGTGGAATATTGTTGTACAATAACAGCCCCATTCAAAGCTGGAGAAATTGCTTACCTGGAGAATGTTCAACGATCCTTTGCTGCTTGAATCCATTTTATAAAACATCTAAATTATTGGGAAAAATTAAAATGTTTTCATCTGTATTCTCTAGTGCGCATGTGAGAGATGCATCATAATTTACACATGGAAAATATTAGAGGGGACTGGTTCCAAATCTGCAAATGGAAATAATATCACATGAGACTAGGATGCATGGCAGGATGTGCAAAATAACCTCGGTGAACAGCAAAGGTGCATTAGGTACACTGAGAGAGAACTGTTTCAACATAAAAAATCCAGGACTTTTCAACATTCACCCTCTACACATAAAGGGCATAACTGGCCAGTCTCTCATGGTGTTCAAGAGAGAAATCAATAAACACTTCCAAAGGATACCTGATCAACCAAGCTGTGATTCATACATCAGGCTGCAAGCAGCCGTGTCAAACAGCATAGTTGACCAGACGACCAACTAGAAGACCTGGTCAGAGACCTTGCTGTGGAGATGTTAATCCTCGGAATCATCACAAGATACGTAATATTGTCCTGGTAGGTCAGTGGCTCAAGGAAATATCTTAGGGACCAGTTCAGAAAGTTAGCCGGTTCTCTATGCCCATCACCTTATTTTTTTAATTTTAGTACAGTATTTCCATGTCTGTGTGGTACATTCTTTCCTTACATCCTGTCCTCCGAAGTTTTAATCTTTATGCTAACTGTAAGGCCTGATAGTTTTTATTATGTATTGCCTGTTTTCAGAGCCTACGATTTCCATACACACGACCCCACTTCTTGCAGCTTGGCTCTGAAGATGAGGTGCAAGTGACTGCTGATCATTCCATCAGACCAATTATTTGTCCTCGTGACATATCCAGGTTACCATGGAAAAGTGGATATGCTGAGTGAGTACTGAT